GGGCGACCTCACCCAAGATACTATGCAACGTCCTGAACACTTTGTCCATACATAGTTATCCACTAAATGGTTTATTTCTTGACCAACAATGTGTCGGTATTGAAAAAATTTCTCACCCCTATAACACCCCGTTTACACCCTGTAGGGCAGGTCAAACTTGATATTATCGACATACTCACTACGCCCCACTGTTCCACGGTATAAATCTTATTGATAAACATCGTACGACACAAAAAGGAACACCGCCCTTTGTACCAGGCCAAAATTTTATGAGAGTAAAGGAGATGGGGCAAAATAGTCTGAAGCAATATTGTTTCTCTTGATAAGCTCTACAACTTTGCTCAACTTACCCGGGCGCTAGGTCCTCTCTCAGTCCCAAAAATCGGGGATAAATGATTTTTTTACCCAAAAAATCACACTTTTTTATGTAACGGTATTTTTGACTTACAATGAACAAATGGAAATGTTATGTATATCGTTGGATAGGTATTCACGAGTACTATAATTTTGACCCAAAGAGTTATGCCCTACCTCCCACAGTAATGGAGCTATGGCCCTTCGAAGTGATACCTTAATTTTGGGTTTATACACATATACCCTATTTTAACCCCTTTCCCCGCATTTCTGGGGTTGGGCATCTATATATAATTTATCTACACACAATGCCCTTTAAGATGGTATGCATTAGAACTCTAGACAAAACAGCCCAAAACGGGACACAGTTCTTTTATGTCATTAGCAATATCGTACACACTCACTCACTTGTGTCGCTTTGTGTTCATTTGTTTCTCCTTCGCTTTGTAAGCTATTGTGTTCACTGTTCACCACTACATTTTTACAATCTTGTCGGAGCAAATAAACACACACTTTGGACGCTGTCGGTTTGCGCTTCTTTGCATCAGTGTGTCATTCATTATTTGTCAAACTTTCAAGTCAACAGTTCACTTTTTTCAAGTGTCGCATAAAACATTCGTTTGGAAAACATGAACAAAATAAAATTTCAATTTTGTTGTGCATTAGCGTCCGTACATTCGAATGAATACTCTTTGTCTAGGTACATCCGATTGAATACTGTTGGAATGGCAAACGTGTTGAAAAGTAACGCTACATCGGAATCGATCGCAAAGATGTATCTCAACGAGAGATTGGCCGACGTTCATTTCAAGTTCAAAGTAGATGATGAAGTTCAAAGGGTTCCAGCAAACAAAAGTGTATTGGCAGCTCTAAACCCGGTATTTGATACGATGTTCTTTAGATCGTTGCCAGAGAAAGGAGACGTTCCCATTCCCGATGCGGATGCCGATGGATTCAAGGAATTTCTCCGGGTGTTCTACCTGGGTGAGGTGACATTAACCATGGAAAATATCGAGACCGTTGTTCGTTTGGCCGACAAATACGATGTCCTCGAACATGTCAATGCATGTGCCGTGTTTCTCAAAGGTCAATTGACATTGGATATTATATGCTGGGGCTATCAGTTAGCTGTGAATCTCGAAAATGAAGAATTGATCGAATATTGTGAGGAGAAAATCATCAAATCGCCGAAGGGTGTCTTCGTCACCGACGCATTCAAACGCTGTGACAAAAGTATTTTGAAGCGAATTTTCGAGCTGGGTTTGATTTGCGAGGAAACCAATGTATTCGATGCCTGTTTGACGTGGGCCAAATACGCATGCGAACAAGATGATTTGGATGCAACACAAGCGGTGAATTTGAGAACTCAACTCGGCGATTGCTTGAAGTTAATTCGATTTGGCCTCATGAAAATTGAAGAATTTAGTAAACGTTATGTATTGCATAAAGGGCTGGGCTATTTACAATGGAAGAGCTTGAAGATATTATGCTTTCATTGACTCTAGCTGAATACGAACCGCTTATATACAATCGAAATTCCCGGAACTACACATGGGATGCGGCTAATGTATTGCAATGTATTGCAATGTCAGCGGAAAACTTCAGGTAAATTAGAAATGCCCATTAGAACTCAAGAAGTAACTTCGTTCGCATCAAATAATCACCTACTGTTGGGAGAGATTCAAGCTGCACGCACATACATTGGTTCATCTGAAATAGTCGGAACTGAGGTTGAAGCAACTATCACCGAGTGTGGGAACCCAGCATTCGAATCAATCGAGTCATCAAAAATTCTTTATGAAGGCACATCTAGTACATGGTATGGCGACGATCAGCTGAAAGTGACTTTGCCACAGCCAATTTTGATCAAACCACAAAGAATGTATGAAGTTCGTTTGGTTATTCGATCACCCAATGGATACACCTATTTCTCAGACTGTCAGCCAATGGTGGAGATGAAAGACGGAACTAAAATTCAATTGTATAGAAATCCAACTCTGGACTATGATAACCTCGCAAATGGCTGGATTTCCAATTTGATCTTCAACAAAATTTAAATTAGGAATGAAAAAGAACAAATAAATGAAATATGAAAATAGTGCATCATAATAAATATTTGGTTTATCAATCAATGAAATAAAAATATTCTCACTCTTCACCAACAATAAATTCAATCGACATTGAAAAAAGTCATTGATAGTCGAGAGTATATTTATATAGAAGTTTCATAGTTCAGCGCGAGGGGCAAATCACTCTTAGGTATTACTTTTACATAAATGGTATTACTTGGTATTACTTTCCGTACAAATCAAAAGTAATACCAGGTGTATTACTTCTATTGATCAGTATTACTTGGTATTACTTGGATATTACTTTTTTCGGTATTACTTTTTTCATAGAAATATCAAAAGTAATACCAGAGGTATTACTAGAAATAACTGAGGTATTACTTTTCTATTTGGTATTACTTTTGAGTGATTTCCCCCTTGGTTCAGCGTTCTACATCAAGATGTCACTTAAATATTGCATAAATGTGTGCTTCATATAAAAACATAGGCACATTTTGTCATTGTAGTTGCTTTCCCTATGTGAAAAAAATGCGAAGAAAAACCGGAATAAATCGGAGAAGTTCCAAAAATCGTATCTTATTCATGTGCTTTCTATATTTTATCGTTCATAACGTGAGCCACATTTGGTTTATTAAAATAAACATTCAATAGATGTTGTTCACTTTCATTTCAATAAAAAAACAAACCCACAATTTATCTTTGATCATTTTATTTTTCAGGAAAACATTTCTGATGAAATGAGAAATCACAATTTTTGCATAATTCAATTAAATCTCAATAGATTTTGTATGAAAATGACGCCTGTAGTAAGTCTCATAGAAAAAATAATATTTATTTTCCTTCAAAATGCGTGTAGCAATAAATCACTCATCGTCTGTATCCTAATCGAGTTATCGGTTCTAATACGTTTATGATTTCTGTTTCGGAAGGACGCATCGATCACGAAAATTTTGAACTTTTTGCTCGCCTACATGGAAGAGAAATCCCACTGAAAATGTGCAAATGAGTGGTGATTTTCCAAATTCAAACTTCATTGATAGGAAGTCGCTTGTTGAATTTGTGAAAGATATAAATACAGCCAAAGTTTGGCTCCAAACACAAGTATTCTTTTAAAAGCTGTTGATTTTCAATTCCAACTATCTCGAATATCGTTACTCCCCTATTACAGCTCAGCTATGTCTAATCAAGTAGGGAAACTGTTTTGAATGAATGTGCTTATGACGAATTCAATTTTTCCAATAATTTTAAAATATCACTAAATGTAGCCGATCCGTGAGCTATGATTTAATAGAAAAGAATCTTATTATCGTGTCGATTATCAGAGGAAACGGCGGTGCTTCATTTTTTTCCTCAAGTTGCAAAAGAATTCAATCAAAATACTTCCCAAATGAAGCAAACATATCTCGAGAAGGCCGTATTCTATTTGGATCCTGTTTGAAATATCCAACAAATTTGTTTTGTATGGAGATTCAGTTTGAAGATTTCGTTTATAGACCAGCATTCAATTTTAATATGAATTTCTAGTTTGTTTGAATAAATGAAAAGCCGATGGAATTTTTTTAAAAAAAAGTTTCGATAGTGTTGATAGTCCAATTGATGTCATTTTTCGATGTGATTAAATTTAATTGCAATTTAAGATTCACAAAGTCACATGAGAATATCAGAATTACATAGAGAAATCACGGTGACATTTTGAAGTTGCTTGTGGCGCAAGAAACAATTTGATCCAACACACAACAAATTAGTATAAGGCTTTATTCAAGCATCATATTGCACTATCTTCAGTTCAGAGAGATTATCTTAAAACAAATACAGCATCCAAATCAATGCAAAGCCAAAATAAAATTGAATTAACTCCTTCACTTAATTTACATGAAAATGAGATAGAATACAGGGTGGCGCACTCGAAGTGTAACTAAAACAGAAGACTATAACTTTTTAATTTTTTGATATTTTTTTATTGCTCTAAAGGCACGAAATGTTGCAAAATGATACAAAATTTAGAATCAGCTTCCAGATTTTATTTTCAGTTGCATTGGATCGAGTAATGCCCTCAAGTCCACCATTTTTTTTAAATGTGTTTGCACGGAAGTGGTAGTTTTGACGAAAATAGAATTTTTAGAAGAAATCTAATATAGCTTGAGTAACCACAAATCATGAAAGTGATTAGATTCTAGTTCATAGAATATTATTATAAAATAGCTCCAGTCTTTGTTGGACCACTATCACCTCAGATGTATAACTCCTTTTGAAGGTCGGAACTGTGATAGTCCCGAATTATGGGATTTTCTCACCATTTTCCCCATTCTGACCCCAAAATAAGTGACATCATGTGACATCATTGACCGTTCAGCACGATTCCGATTCAGACTGGACCAAATAGTTCAGATTTTCGCAATTCTTTTTATTTCTTCATTATTATCAGCCTTAGTGTAGCTCGAAACATTATCATTAGATTTCGACGTGTAATAATTTAATTTCAGTTTAATTATTTTGTTTTTCCTTTCAGTTCAAATGATTCAATTCAGATAAATTTTGGTTAAGAAAATAATCGAAGTTGGAATTAAATTTCATTTTCTTAGATTGACTTGAAATTCAGAAATGTTATTTTAGTTGAGAAATGTTATTTTTAGTTAAGAAAAAATTTCGGATTGCATTCAGATTCATTTTAAATTGATTTGGAAATTGATTCGAACATTAATTCAGACATTTTATTTTTCAGTCAAACGAATTTATATTAATAGTTATTTCAGAAATTGGTTGAGTAAATTAAGTTTAAGTCAGATTCAATTCTAATTCCGAAATATCGCACATAATTCAGTCATTTTAAATTGCACAATTTATTGGGACAATTAAGTCAACTAATTTCCATTGTTACTTAGATTCCGACCTATTTATTGAACATTGTAATAGTGATAAGAATTCCTTTTAAAGTAAATTGATTAAATCATTGTAATCAATTGAAAAAAGGGGTCGAGCTGTAATAGGCTACGTAATGCTGTTGGCATTGTGAATAGACCTTTATGCTCTGTAGTAGCTGTGTGTCGACACCACCGACATACGTCAAGTATTCCGTATTGTACATAGTAGCATTAAGAGACATTCGATTGACGGACACCGCACCGTATAGTTCAGCTAATAAAGTGATCCATAGCAATATTATTCCGACGTTTATTATTATTCCTGCCTATTTAGCCTATTATACTATAGTACTAAACCAAAGTTCTAAATGATACGGAATTTTGTGCTGAGCTGGGGGAAACTCTTTGTGGTAAATTTTCTGAAGGTGTTGAAAATGGCAAAAAAAATTTGCTGCAAGTTGAGAATCTTCAAAAATAGCATAATACGTGCGAATAAACGATATGAATGTGATATATTTTCAATGTTATGAGGATTTTATTGCTTCATAATGCATCAACAATAGATTTGGATGTCAAAAGATACTCTTAGTAAGCACCAGAATCGATCTTCCTTATTCGAGTCGGTATGTTCGTTTTCGAAATAAAACTTAATAAATTTCCAGAAAAAAAACACTAAAATGACTTATATGCACTTCAACGATGATTCAGTGATGATTTACAAACGAAATCAATACTTAAATCGTTTTTATGCATAATTTGCTAAAATTTACCTATTCTCAACCTGCAGCAAAGTCACTTTCACAACCTGCAGTTTTATAGACATTTTTTACGAGACTCACAATTTTTTTAAAAACCATAAAATGCACATAATTCATACTGAATCGTAAAGAGAAATGAAAATACTGATGATTTATTCTGTATAATTTATTTTCATTTTTGGATTTTGCCTACGGCATATGACTCATACAAATCGCGTTCAAATTTAGCACGGATGCACGCTAAGGTCACAAAAATTTAAAAAAATTCTAATCCATACCAATACCTATATCGTAAGCAATTAAAAAGACTAATTACTTGAGCTGTTTTTTGACAGAATATTAGTCGATGGTCCAACAAAGCAACAATATTGGTTGGTATGGTCATAGATTGACAAAAAAATGTTTTGAAATTAATTCTACACTACAATCGAAAAAGGGAATCGAAGGAAATCATCCGATTATTCAGATAAATTGGTTCAGCTATTCGTCACCTGAAAAATACACATCGATCAGAAAGATCAAACCAATTTCTTATTTTGTGAAAAATATATGCAACATTACCATTATTTGTATCCAATTGAATCTATTCCAATTGCTCTGCAATATTAATTTTGTTTCCTTTACCGATAAAAAATTTGGCGACCTCATTGTGACCTAAAAATAATACAGATCAATGAAAAAGATCAAATCGATATCTTATTTAGTCAGTTTTACCATTGTTAATAGCTACTTGGAGAGGAGTCTGATTCGAATTATTTTTAACATTAACATTTGCTCCTTTACGGATGAGAAGTTCAGCGACACTCCTTTG